ACTGGGACAGTGAATTCCCAAATGTAACATCCCTTAGAAATCATCTGAATGTTTTTTAAGTTAATCTTATTCTTGAAATGTGTGCCATCTCTTCCTTGTCCTTTGCTGCTGTATTTTCTGCTTGTTCATCATTCCTGTTCTCAGATGACACAAGAGCATTCACGCTTGGAAATCTGTAGAAATGCCTGAATGGTCTCCTTTTCTGAAATATAACAAAGTTTTCAAAATCATGTTAGAACATCAAGGTACAATTCTAGTGAGTATCATCACTCAGCTTCTAGTCCTATGTCTTTACCAAACTCCCCAACTTAAGGTTTTATTAAAACAAGTAAAGATTATCTAATTTGTTATCATTATGAGGACATGTGGCCTAAATATATAGTAACGAACAGAAAAAATGCGACAAAAAACTTTATTCTGTAGACTCGATCCTACTATCAAAAAATTCGAAATACATTGTTTCTAGCCGCCAGTAGCTTGCCTCATTGGTATGGAATTATCTCCCTTGGGTTCAGGGATGGCTTGATTACGTGACCTCGTCGCTAGCAGACGATACCGAAGCTTTGCCATGACGTTACAAAACAACAGAAATCGACTCTTGGCATATTACGAAGCAGGTAGTACATCCGTAACTAGACTTGTGAAACTGACGGGACTGCATCGGGCCTCTGTTTACCGAAATTTGAAGAAATTTGACGCAGGGTTTACTTTTCTAGCAAGAGCTGTGTTATGAGCACCACACCCAATATGTTTCGTTTTTATCTGGACACTTAGTTTTAGTGACAGAGACCATTTGTAAGTTGATTCTAAAATGCATGAGGAATTCAGCGATGCATTTGTCACAACTGAATATAGAAATATACGTGATGTAATTGGCGTCATATGACCGGCCTTAGCGAAACTTGATTTTTGTACACCCTATCAATATGGCGGAAAGCTCACTTCGGCGTTCAGAATTATTTAGATGTGTTGTCTTCACAGCAATCGAAATGTTTGTTTTGTTCCGAGGTTTAGCCGTAAAGATGCAATTTTGACAGACGACCGAGGAGTAACGCTTGCGTGTTTATGTCGCGGAATTGTAGGAAATATTTAGGAATCCCGAATTTAATGAAAATATTTACATGAGGGACGTAATTAGACAATGGTACGCTAATAAGTGATTGATACAACCGTTTTTTAACGTAGCCATTAACTAATGACGCATTAAGTGTTTAATGTACCATTAGGGTTTAAGGGTTGACATTAGTTAATGAAGCAGTGATACAACCGGATCCTGGTCTGACTAATTCTGGCATACAACTATATATACAGTCTGGTCTACATAATGCTGGAATACAAAGTGCATTTTGAGCAAGTATTTACACAACTATTTACACAACGTGTTGGAAGGAAGTGCCGTTGAATCACACAGGCCCTGACGTGAAGGGTAGAAGTGGGATTTTGATACATTAGATCAACTAACACAATGTGTTGAAGGAAGTGCCGTAGAATCACACGGCCCTGGCGTGAAGAAGGGTAGAGTGGAATTTTTGATAATTAGATCAACTAACACAAAGTGTTGAAGGAAGTGCCGTTGAATCACACACTGGCCCTGGCGTGAAGGGTAGAGTGGGATTTTGATACACGAGATCAACTAACACAATGTGTTGAAGGAAGTTCCGTAGAATTACCCAGGCCTTGGCGTTAAAGGGTTGGAGTGGGATTTTGATACTTGGATCAACTAACAAAATGTGTTGAAGGAAGTGCCGTAGAATCACACAGGCCCTGGCGTGTGTTGTGCCCTTAAGCGCACAATGGTCTTAAGTGCACAGAAATCATAAATAAACATGAGTGGTAGGAGCTATGTGACCACGTCATACGTGTTTCGTAATGCGCACTACTTCTCTCTTGAACACGGAAGTGTCTTTACTTCTGCTGAGTCGTGTAAAGTTGAATAGCGTGTAATTAGAGTGCATTTTCCCCTACAACATAACAAAACAGCATTTCCTTCCATACTACCATTTATAAATATTAAAGAAAATATAGCAATATTCAAATGTTTGTTAAAAGTTCGATCGAAAATTTGCAAGGGACCGTTCATAATGTATAGCTGGGCTGGGATCGAGTGATGATGAGTTTTATGGAGAAGCACGTACAATGTGAATAACAGTCCCACCCCACACCTCTTCCTTCATGAAAACACACCAAGTGCATGTATACAAAATTGATGACACCCCTCCCCTCTCTCTTTCTCTCCCCCCTCCCTCTCTCCCCCTCTCTCTCTCTCTCTCTCTTTCTCTCAGGTATGTATCATTGTCTCAAAGAGTTTGACAGAGGAAGGGATTGTTATGTGTCACCCACATTCTAAATGATTGTTGATCAATCTGTCAAGTCATAATTGCACTTTACTTTAATCAATCAGTACATTCATAAACTGTAGAATAAATAAAATATAATACATCTTTGTCATGACAAAGCCTGTTTTGTTACCACTATGCACACAGGGTGAGTGTGTAACTTTAGAAAATTTGAGAGAGTGTGACATTTGAGGTGGGGTGGGGAGTAGCCTAGTGGTTAAAGTGTTCTCTCGTCATGCCAAAGGCCGGTTCGATTCCCCACATCGGTACAATGTTTCAAGTCCATTTCTGGTGTCTTCCGCCATAATATTGGAATATTTCTAAAAGTGGTCTAAACCCATACTCAGTCTTTTAGCAGGGTGGAGGGTTGTCTGCAGGTCTTCCCTGAATTTGGTGTTTGGTAATCAATTCTTGGGTTGTATGTGCCATGTTCTTTATCAATAAAGGCCAGACTATTGTATTTCTTGTTTTACATATTTTTGTCCTCAGAAGAATTTCTTGTAAGTTTACATTTTGACCAATAAAAACATTAGGATTTTATTTTTTTGAGCAGGGAAAATTCACTTTTATTTCTTTTTTAAGTATTCTGGAAAAAATACAACTGGAGGATCATTAAAACAAGAAATAGAATTGGTCTGGTCTAAATTTGAAATATAGGTGTGCTTATACAGCATGCATGAGAAGCAATGTATACAGGACACCTTTAGCACAGTTTACTAAAGGTAAAAGATGCAAATGTGTTATGTGATTTTTAAGATATCAGAAGTTTAAACATTTTGGACATCTTTGAAATAGTGTGAAATGAGAGATAGTTGGTTATGATGCCTCTATCAGTATCATACCAGTCACATCCCAATCAAGGACATCAACTTTATATATTTGCATTGGGGTAGTGGAGTCAAACCAATGCCTGTGGCGTCACATAAGTTTATGCAGCTGAACATAGACAAGCATGTGCAAGGTGAACATGTCACAGTGGAAATTTTCTGTCCAAGTATAGACATCCATCAAATCCTGCATGGTGTTAGTTGTTTGTGTATTCACAAATGTTGTAGAGCATCAGCTGAGCAGATAAAACTGACCATTGTCAGATTTCCCCATAAAATGACAAAAAGAAATGAGTTTTGTTAAAGATGTTTTATTGCTAAAATACAGAGCAGCCTGTCTTGAAATGGGACAGGCAAGAAGAATACTATGAAATGTAATTATATGTAGTACCGAACTCATTAAGTTGGTTCACACACATATCTTTATGTCTGTTGAAAAGACTCTTACAAACAATTGAAGTAATGCCATTGGCTCACCAACGTGAAATGTGTAAATACGTGGAGGTTACATGTATATGGCATCGAACATTACACCCATCATATTTGTGAAAATATAAACTAGTAAACAAACCAAGGTAACTATTTGAAAATATTTTCATAAACAGAAGCATCCCTACACCCCATTCCTTAAAGTATTTTCAAAGTGTTACAAGAATAATTTCAAACCATACAACTGATTAAAATCCAACAATAACCAAGTCTATGATATAAATACAAGTATTACAGTCACATTTCACAAAATGTTCGCTCATCACCCAGAAGACCCTGTTTTGATTCCCCACATGGGTACAGCCCATTTCTGGTGTCCCCGTCATTGATATTGCTGGAATATTGCTAAAAGTGGTGTAAAACCATACTCACTCACAATCACCTCAAATGTCACCTTGAATGTTGACATAGCACTAACATTAAACATGGCAGTAATTATAACCAGACATGAAAATAAGGAATACCTTGCATCATATATGAGTAATAATAAGTGAAACATGTTTTACAGCTACATGAACACTGACATCAACTTTAATGATCATGACCAAAACCTTCAAAGAACAGGGTATCCATTTGAAGAAGAAGGCACATGTCATGTTTAATTATGCATGTGTGAATTCCTTCTTAGAACCTGTGTTGTCTTGTGACATGAACATTTTACCAAAACAATTCCCAGGGACTAATGAAGAATAATCTCATTAAATTAATCTTTGTGTTGTAGTCATTACGGAAACAACACTGTTTCACTGGGCTGCACATCTTGTTTATAAATTATTACCTTTATCAAATGATTTGGTATGAACTCATGATAGGTAACTACATTTCACAAAATGTCCTCCAGAAACAAAATATGGCAAAATCTGGAGCAACAAAAGCTGACAAAGCTTGAATATTTCAAGATGGGGTAATTTTCTTTTTTCTAAGACTAACAGCATACACATTAAATATTTAGATGTAACATCACATGTCAGACATTATTCACATATCATGAATTACACATATAAAACTTTCTTACCGTTCTGGCAAAGGGCAACAGTTTTACATGCCTTCCATGGCAGACATGCAGAGACTTAGTTACCAGTATGTGCAGCCTTAATTAAGTACTAACTATCACAAAAGTAATATAACAGCCAGTATCATGAAATACAAAAAATATGGCATAACTTTACTATTCCATTGTTTACTACATGCCACATATACTAATATCAAACCATCAAACTATATCAAATCATACTTATAAATCACAT